AAGGCTGTTTCACACACCGCCGGTTGAGTAAACGTGTCAACAAGTCTCAATTTTTGACTGGAACATAGGCTGACTAAACTCAATACTAATGGAGCGGTAATCTCTCTTTTATCCCTTCATTTTTCTTTTAATTCCATTATTGTTATTATATTATTAATTTAATATATATTTTAACTATTTTTTATAACTAATCATATTAATATATTTTATTAATCAATGTGAATATCATAACAATTTATTTTTAATATAAATATAAATATCTATGGAGGGGATTTAGAAAATTGCATTGAGTTGGATCCTGGGTATCTTTTTCAAGAATTCTTTTTTCTTTGATATAGAATTTTATTTCTAGTAAAATTAAGTTGAGCGTAGATATTTTCAGGCTTCCAACATTTTGGGAATATTTTAATTTTTCACTCTTACCTTTCTTATGGTTAATCCCGAAATTTCAAAGAATAACAACAATTCTATTACTACTAAACATTAAGATCGTTCAATTCATTCTTCTTAAATTAATAAAAGGCTCACATACAAAAGAAGTGGTGGATGCACTATTATTTTAGAAAATCACATCCCCATCCACCGAAAGTCTCAAGTGCATGAAAACATCATCCAGCATAATCGTGCACTCTCCGCACGGAAGATGGAATGTGTGTGTCTCCTATTTCCACCGCTCGACTAATGCAGAAATCAAGTTTGGTTCTATCCTACAGTGGCCTTCATATCTAGCTATGTAACCGAATCCAACCTCGACTAAATACAACCAGACACGAGTTGGTATCACTAACTTAAGGTTACGGATAAAAGGATCTAATATACGGTCGCTCTCCTAAAAATATTAATAATTACATAAATTAATTTATAAACTAATAATAAAAAAATAAATTATTACTAATAATTTAAATTAAAATAAAATTTAAAAATGTTATTGTATCAACAAAATGTCTCGATATATGATTTCCATCTACACGAAACAGACCGCCATCCATTTTATAATTACAAAAAAATATAAAATAATTAAATAAAATACTATAATATAATATAATATAATATAATATAATATAATATAATATAATATAATATAATATAATATAATATAATATAATATAATATAATATAATATAATATAATATAATATAATATAATATAATATAATATAATATAATATAATATAATATAATATAATATAATATCTTTTATATAAAATTTGGATGAGGTTTGGTTTTTAATATGATTTGAGAGGATTTAGTGTGGTAAAAATAGTTGAGAGGGGATATTTATAAGATGGGATGGAGAGTGTGAACGAACAGAAAGGGGAGTGTGATCGATTCGGATTAAATACCAAAGGAGTGACTCATGCACCGCGTCTTTCTAACGTGTGTCAATTGGCAGAAAGGCGTGACTCATGCACCGCGCCTTACGCTGATGTGGCTCCAGCTGGAGTAAGGCGTGGTGCATGGGTCGTGCCTTACCACACGTGGTGCCACATCAGTGTAAGGTGCGATACATGGGCCGCGCCTTTTTGCAAAGGGTGTTAGATCTGTAATATTTTCTCTAACTGTATCTGACACGTAAATAATTAAGAAAAATGTGATTTTTCATAAAAATCGCCATCGAAAGATATAAAATTTATTGTTTTTAATGTTTTAATCTTTCTGCTATTGATTTGACGATTAATCATAATTATTATAAATAATATAAATTATTATATATTAAGTGAAAAAAATAATTATATAAAACTTTAAACATCTAACTCTACCAAAGGGCTATTTTGTTGGAAACTATTCTTACCTGCCAAAGCTGAAATTCTTGGGCTTCAATGTCATCATTACCCATATTCAATTTATTTGACTTTCCGTTTTTAGAAATTATTTGACTGTGCTTGATAATAACATGTAAAATCAATATTCATCTTTAAATATTTTAAAATTGATGTAATAAATATAATAAAAAATATGATTATCTTCGTCCCAAGGCATCGCTGCATCATAGTTCATATGAATCTTCCAAGTAAGTGCACCTGGAGCCGCACAAAATTTTCATTTAATGATATGTATAGATTGAAAAAATAGTTCAAAATATCAACAATTTATTACAACTGATTTAAAAAATAGTTCAAAATATGTTTCTTTCTCTAAAGGACGTCAAATCGAAGAATGATTTTGCTATTTTTTTTAAAGGACATACCTTAGAGAAAGAAATAGATTTTGGACTTTCATTTTTATATATAATATTTTTATTTTAAATTAATTTTGTTTTAGTCATTTGCTTTTTAAATTATTGTATTTATGTTTCTTTTCCATATTCATGGTCTTTCTTTTAAACTTTGTACATTTATATCTATTTTTAATATTTATTTTATTTTTATGTATATTCCTTTTATATTGGTGCATGCAACCCTTTTATCTTATTTTATAAATTAAATTCAACTCTTTTTTATTTATTTCATATCCTAATTTATTTAATTTTGCATTGATAAAATCTTAAAGGTAAGTAATTTGGATATTTTCTTTAAATTTTGGCTGTAACTTTAATTTTCTCTATTAAGACAATTCATAACCGTATTGGTACCGAAAGGGTTATATGGGGGTGATCATTCTTCCACACACTTAACCGACTCCCAAATCCTTCTAAGTGAATCTCTAGAAAGACGTAGATCCGATAAGAGGTAAAATTTAGTTATCCGACCTTACCTAATCCAAAAAGGTTGGTGACGATTCCAAAAATGTAAAATTCACTTTAAGTTGAAATGTGATCCTGGATCACCCAAAGGATCATTACGACAATTGTTATTCTTAGAGTTTTTAGATTCAAGTATAAAAAATACCAAGAATGCGAGCATTTAATATCAAAAGTGTCCAGTGTAATATCATGATGGGTCTAATTTGTACATTTAGGCATATATACTGGGCCTTTATTACCATAAATATTTTCTGTTTTGTTAAGATTCTATATTGAGCGCTAGGGACTTCAGTGGATTTTGGCCCATCATTTATCCTCAATGCCCAATATCTCTCACTATCGATACCATTAGGAATGTTTTGAACACGAACTATATAGTAACTAGAAATAAAATTACCAAGATATAATATTATTTTACATATTATTAAAAATATTATATTATATTATTTAATTTATTTAGTCAAAACATTGATCATGGTGTTAGGGCTACAAAATGTACGATTATTTAACAAAATATTTTACGAAATTGTTCTTATGATATTTTTTTTAAAAATAAGAAATCGGTATGGAAGTTTATAAGTCACTTTTAATTGGAATCTCTCAATTTTTTATTTAATGTATTATTAATATAATTCACATATTAAATGCTGTTTAAAAAAATACATATGTTATTAACATACTAATATGTTTTCCATGCCATGCCATGCTGTTGAGATTAGGGATGGCAAACGGGTATAGTTTCGTGGATTCCGCACCGCATCCGCTCCAATTGGAGTGGGGATGGGTATAATTTTAGTGTGTAGTGGGCGGGTGTGGATTTATAAAGTGATACCCGTCGTGGGTGGTGGGCGGGTAATGGGTTTGAGACATTACCCGCCCCACATCCGCCCGCCCCGCATCCGCCTGCCCCACATCCGCCCGCCGAACTAAATATCTATTAAATTTTGGACCATAATGAATTTAGGTGTAATTTTAGAGACTAATTTATAAATTTTAATATTGTATAATATATAACATATAATTTAACCAAATATTAAGGATATTTAGTCTTTAATCTGGTCTTTAATTAGGGAAATATTCGGCTCTTTAATTAAACTCATAATCCCACTAACCACGTCACTTTCCATGTTCTTTAGCCCATGCTGCCCATACAAACACAAATTAGCTGTACTATAAGCATTAACATCAAAAGAAGCAGTTTCCATGTTCTTTAGCCCTTCAAAACCCATATTAGGCGCATTATGAGCATTAACATCGAAAGCAACTCAACAATCCAACTCTGCGACTACATGCTCCCTACAATCTGTCTTCATAACATTCGTAGAGCCACTCCTCTGACAAATTGAAGCATGCACTGCTACCCCATCACGAACTGTCTGGGAACCAACTCCAACATCCCATTAGTTTGCTGTCAGGCGAGTCTAGATGGGTATGTCGCTAGTGGGTAGTGGGTGTGGGGATGGATTTGAAAATGTACCCGCGTGGGCGGGTGTGAATTTGAAAATTTGTACCCATCATGGGTGGTGGGCGGGTGGTGGATTGAAAAATATTAGGTGGGTATGGGGATGGGGGAGGGGTATCCGCACCCGACCCGCCCGTTTGCCATCCCTAGTTGAGATCTCTACCCCAAATTATCCATTTCTAATTAAATCCCTTTTATGACAGTTTATCGATTCATTCATAAATGTTTACGAAGCAATCTACCATTTTAGTTTTCTCAATCTGTCCACCTACTTCAATATTGCATCAAGTTTTGAAAAGAGATAAAAAAGATTATTAATAATTGTTATTTTTATTTTAGAACATGGAATATATATTGAAGAAAATATTTTAATTTTATTTTTATTCACCCATTTTGAATTTCTGTAAGTGAATTGTACTGCCTTTATTGGAGCTTGTCTTTTATTTACCGAAAACACACTTTTTATTCGAAAAAATACATATGATAGGGTTTAAACTAAAATAATTTTAGAATAAATCCATATATAATATATACAAGATGAAACTCAAATTTTAAATCTCAAAATATTAAAAATTTTAAATTTACTATTAAATTAAAGTTTCACGATTTAAACTTACAAGCTGCTATCATATAGTCACAAGGGGAACAAGATAGCTAGTTGAGTGAGCTAAGGCATTTACTAAAATTGATTTTGCAAAAATCCAAATGCTTGCTGCAACATTTGGGTGATATGCCCGGTGTTAGGGTTTCATTTTTGTCTCTACATTCCCAAACCCCATCCCCATTTCCCCCTATATTTAACCCCATTTCCCCCGTCAATATTTCATTCTCATCATTCATCTCTCATATCTTAAATGCTTCTACAACCATGGCTGCTGAGCTTGGCTTTCTCTCATTAACCCAACTTCAAAAGCTATCCCAAAACCCGAACCACCACCATCAGCCCGACACGAACTTAGCCGTCGGCTCGGGGATGTGGTACCCTAAGGCGCAACCTCTGGAACTAGACGATGATTCTTGGGAGGTTAGGGCCTTTGCTGAGGACACGGGTAACGTGATGGGGACGACATGGCCGCCGAGGTCTTATACTTGCACTTTTTGTGGAAGGGAATTCCATTCGGCTCAAGCCCTCGGCGGTCACATGAACGTTCACCGCCACGATAGAGCTCGGCTCCAGAAGCCACATCCCGGTGGCCTGAACTTGCCATCCGCTAAAGAATCCGCCACAAATGGCGGCATGTGCCTCCTCTACCAATTACATAACCCTAATGGGGTTTTCACTTCTCCACCTAGGAATGCAAGGTCATTTCCACCATATCCCCCTTTTGACTTGATGGCAGCCACGGCGACATCTATAAATATTCCGGTGCCGCCTCCAGCGTTAAATAGCTCTTCGTCTTACATCACCGGCAGCAGCAACTGCAAGGAAACATCCATTGAAGAGCTCGATCTAGAGCTTCGCCTAGGGCATAGACGTTCAACAACATCTTGAAAAGAAAAAAAAATCAAAGACAATGAAGCGAGGGATTTATTATTATAATTCAAGAGAAGAAAAGCAAAGGAACAAGATTAGGGTTTGAGTGGTGTAGTGTTAAAGAGAGCAGTGCAGTGTCATTTTCATGGTACAGGTTTTTCTTTTCTTTTCAGAGTGCGTCAGTACTGTGTTTCTGATATGGGCATGTATTTCCGTGGGGATTATTTCAATTAAGACCAAATTTCTGCAACCTGGAGTTACTTTGAAATGGAAAGTAAACTACTTTTTCTTTTACCGTGCGTTAATGGATAACAATAGAGTAAATCTATATACGGTAATATTACATAGTTTAAGCCATTCCACTCTAGGAAGGCCTCATCATGACTTCATGTCGTTGAATTTTAGAAAAAAGATAATGTGGTTTTGTTTACATATGTTGCAGGCTTAAAGCAAGTAATGGACTATACTAGGAGCGACGTTTTCCTATTGAATGGCACATAATTTTGCATTAGCGTGTATGGGAGACATATATATATATATAAAAGTTATGATTCATTTACATGGTGTAAAACTCTTTTGGTTTTATATAGATTTAAGATCGTTGGATGAGTGAAAATAGACATTTAAGATTAACAATAAAAAAATATAAATATACTCAATGAAAAGCCAATGAGTTATCTCCTTAGTCTATTTTCATTTATCCAACAATCATAAATCAATATAAAAAAATTGACATTGTGTAAGTGAATTCTAGATCATATATATATAGGGCATGATCCACTTACATAGTATAAAACTTTTTAGTTTTACATGTTTTTTGAATCGTTTGATGAGAAAAAAAGACGACTGAGATTTACCGTAAGAAATGAGAAGATATTCACAGGAAAAAATCAAAATAAATAGATAATATTAGCTAGAGTTGGCATCAGGTAGGATTGGGTCAGATATTTTTGTTAACCATACCTGATTCGAAAAATTAAAGACCTATTTTTCATAGTATAAATCTGATCCAACCCAACTTGATATAAATTAAGGACCTAATTAAAAAATAATAGAAAGAGAAGGTATAATAGCAATTATCCATAAATTATATGAAAATTACATAATTACCCTTAGGTCGGGTAGGGTCAGAAGTTTTCTCCCTCCACCTGAACCCAACCCAACCTCACCCTTATATAAAATATGGCCGACCCCATCCAAATTTGATTTTTTTTAAAAGTATGACCTTATCAGATTGGATCAGATGTGAATCCACCGGTTTCAGGTTAAATTTTCATCTCTAGTCTTAGATGTTTATTTTCACTCATCCAACGATCTTAAAAACTATATAAAACTTAAAAGTTTTACACAATGTAAGTGAATTCTAACCCTATATTAGACATGATCTACTTACACAAAATAATTTTTTTTTAAAACATTTTTTAAGATAGTTAAATGAAGCTGGGAGAGAAATAGAGAGCGAATAGAAATTCTAGGATTGGGATATGAGTTTTATTGGCGTTGTTTTTGTTTTTGTCGGTCATAATCAAAATCGAGGGTTAACATAATAAGACCTAACATGAGATTTGGAGTAAATGAGCCTTTAAGCCATTGTTTTATAAAAATATGATAAGATTCAATGAAAATTTTGTAATAACTTTTAAAAACTAATGACTATTTTACAATTTTAAAAGTTCAATGCTCAAAACTATCGTTTGAGCTTAGATGGATGAGTTTTGATGTACTTTATCCTATATTTTCTGGGGTATACTAGTCGGTTCATGTCGTTTCCATTGGACTGTATCAAGCCTGCAATGCAACCCTACTTCCCAAAGCTGCAGCAGCTTCAGGTCTTCACCGCACGCAATTGCCCAAATGAAAGACAAATAAGATCATTGCAAAACTTTCAAACCCATTTTCTTGTTTAATTTTCCGATCCCACCTGTACATCCTTATATTTTTTACCGAAAATCGCGTACCTATAAATTTTTAATTTATTAACCACGTACACACACCTTACAGACGTAACTATTTGAACCTAAATAGGTTCGACATAAATAATAATTAAATAGGTTCAACATGAATAATAATTAAATCTCACAACACATGTGTAAGTGATCCATTGTATAAATAGAGATAAACTGTGATCCACAAAAACCCATGGCCTGAAATTGAAATTGGCTAATCTATATCTCTATACCGGGACATATGTATAATCTATATAAAATACAAGAAAAATATTTAAAATGTAAAAGAATTTAAAATTTATAGGATACAACCAGTACCTCCTCTGTCCATCCTATATATTATTATTATTATTATATGCTAACCTATATATAGTTTTTACTCTCTTTTTTTACGTAGAAATCTATGTTTTTATTAGCCCTTTGTTTCTGGGACCCCACCCCTATCCGTATCCAACTAAGCTAAGACACATTGCATTTATAGGCCTCATATGACTTTAACTACCAAGTACCACTATTTAACCACCCTCTGCAAGGCCCCCCACCCCCCCTAAGGGCTCCACTTTTCCTTTTGCACTCATCATCATCATCATGCATTCATAATATACACAAACATAAGCCACCAAAGAGAAAATCCATCGACCATGAATTCAGTGTCCCACTCCCCCCACCGATTTCTGTTGAGAGTGATATTTTCAATGTATTTCATCATATTTTCATTCAATGAATCTGTAGTTTATATATAAATTATCTACCCTTAATTGACTAACAAATTCAACGAACCAATTACAAAACTGCTCTAACTAATTACAAGCTGTTTATTAACTAATTAATATTTCTACACTCCTCAAGTTGGAGGTTGGAAAATATCTTTCAACCCCAACTTGGAAGTTAAGTATTCATGTTGTTGAATTCCCGGGGCTTTTGTCATCACATCCGCCAACTGATCTGAAGATGGTACATAATCTGCTTGAATGAGGCATGATTATATCTTTTCACGCACAAAATGACAGTCTATTTCTATGTTCTTTGTAATCTCATAAAACATAGGATTTGCTGCAATTAGTAAGGTTGTTTTATTGTCACATAGTAGCTTGGCTGGTGGCAATTCTTCCACTCCTAATTCCTTCAGTAAACCATTCAACCAAACTATTTCTGTTGTAGTAGAAGCCATGTTAATTTATGTACTCAGCTTCTGCTGAAGACCTTGTTATTATGCCTTGTTTCTTTGTCTTCCATGAAATCAATGAACTTCCAAGCATAATACAGAAACCAAACACTGATTCTCTTGACATGGGGCAAGCTGCCCAATCTGAATCACAGTAAGCAGTGAGCCTGCATTCACTTGTTGAATCCAACAAAATTTTCTTCCCTGGATTTTGTTTGTTGTATCGAACAATTATGATTACAGCTTCTTGATGAGAATTCTTCGGTTGCTGCATGAATTGACTCAAATGGTGTACTACAAATGTTATGTCTAGTCTTGTGTGAGTTAAATAAAGTAGCCTTCCTATTAGCCTTGAAAAGATACCTTGTCTTATAACTACTCATCATCAGGTTGTGATAGACTTTCATCAAATTCTACTATTGTAAGCCTTTTATTTTGCTACAATGGTGTACAAGCAGGTTTAGCTTCCCCTAATCCCATATCTTTTGTCAGTTCCATTGCATACTTTTGTTGATTCAACAGAATACATTCTTGGATTTAAGCACTTCAAAACCCATAAAATACTTTAAATCTTCTAAATATTTCATCTTGAAATTCTAATTTAGAATCCTTTTTAATTCCCTAATTAGTGACTCATCATTCCCCGTAATCAGCAAGTCATCTACATATACAAGTATTATAACAATTTTGGTTCCTTGCACCTTTGTGAAGAGAGAATAATCATGCTTGCTTTGCTGATACCCAACAGAAATCAAAGCCTTAGTTAATTTAATGTTCCATTTTCTGGAGGCATACAATGACTTTTGCAGCCTGCAAACCTTAGGCTCCCCCTGGCTGCAAAATCTAGTTGTCAGCTCCATGTAGACTTCTTCAACCAAATCTCCTTGTAAGAAGACATTATAGACACCCATTTGGTGAAGTCTCCAACGAAAATGGAAGCAATTGCAAGAGTAGTCCGAACAGTAACTCTCTTGACTCTCTTGACCACAAGAGAAAAGGTGTAAAAAAATACACTCATTCCTTTTGACTATAGACCTTTGTTACCAGATGAGCTTTATATTGCTCCATTTCACCAGAGGCTTTTTATTTAATTCGATATACCCATATGCAGCCAATGGGTACTTTTCCCGGAGGCAGACTGACCAAGTGTTATTGGACTCCGGGGCCTGAATTTCCTCATTCATAGCTTGGACCCAAGCATGATTCTTAATAGCTTTAAAGTAAGTTTTTTGGTTCAACAAGAACTAAATTATAAGGAAAAGTTGTGTAGAGATAGGTAAATGGGAAAAAGAAATATTTTGAGTAATGGGATACTGACCTGGGAGAGAAAAGGATTGGCAAGAGCAAATGAAATCATTTAACCAATTTGGCTGTTTAGAAACTTTACTAGACTTTCGAGCGAGAACAATAGGAACAATGATAGTTGGTTGAGATGAGCATGAAGGGGATGCACTTGTTGAAACAGGAAAATGTGAGATAGATTGTGAAGGCGAAGGTGGAGTAACATGATCAACATTTGAGTCAGGTTATTTGATTAAAACAGGATCAATATTTGAGGGATGAACTAGAACAGAGGTTCAAACTAGGGCAGAGGTATGAACATGATCAAGGATAAAAAAATATGGATCAGGAAAGTGAAGCTGTGAAGGAAAAATTGGTGAATTAGATGTAGGATGCTAGAAAGGAAACTCATCCTCATGAAACTTAACATACCTATGAACAAAAAACTGTTTGAATTCCAAATTGAATAAAATGTAGCCCATTTGGGTGGTAGAATAGCCCACAAAGATAGCAAGAACAACTCGGGGTAGAAAACTTATCTCTAGGATGAAGTTGAGTGGCATAACACAATCATTCGAAAATTAAAAAATGGGAAAGGTTTGGTGGCTTGTTATAAAGCATTTCAAAAAGACTTTTCCAAGATAGAATATGTTGAACCTATATTCTGATATAACAAATAAGAGCAAAATGTTTTTGACCTAAATTGAATTTGCTCAAATTATTCAAAAATAATTCAAAGTCTAAATTAATTTAAAAAATATGTCTTAAATGTTTTCTAAACTTTGTCAAACTTTTAAACATTGTTTTAAAGATCAAAACTCTTGAAATTTGCTAAAATCCCTAGCCAGTATTGAGATCAACATGTCAGTCTCGAGACCGAAGTTCCAGATAACTTTTCTGGTATCAATACCATGGTGTGATATCGATACTGGAAGGTGAGTCTCGATACTCCTTCAAATAGTATCGATACCTAGGTTCAACGACTATACTTTTGAATATTTTTCATACTCGGTCATGGTACCAACTTCTCAGTATCGATACCACAGTTGCATATGAGCATTTAATGCTCAAAATTAAGGTTTTCAACGGCTCCAAAACATCCCCAATAACTAGAAACAACTTGTAATTCGTTCCAACATGTAAAATCAAGTTGAGGACACTTGAAGAAGGTAACAACACCTATCCAAGAAATCCACATCAAGAGAAAAACTCTTTCAATCTTAATTTTCCTTCTCTCTTGTATATAGAGTATTTTTATGAGCTTAATTTGTAAACACATACCTTTTGGAGGTTTTCTTATTTACATTCTTTATCCTTTTGTAAAAGGGTTTTGGTACTATCTTAGCCATTGTAAAATATAGAGAATTTGTAAAGGTTACTTTTGAGCTTAGAAAAAGAAAGAACAAATTAGTGAATTTGTTAGAAATCTTTATTGAGGAGCTAAGGTAGTGGATGTAGACTTCATTGAAAAAGTTGAACCACTATAAAACATTTTATAATTTTTCCTATCATTTCTCCTTAATTACCAATTTTTTCAAAAAGCCAATTCACCCCCTCTTGGCAACTATTTCAGTTGATTTCTTTGAGCCTCAAATCTCAAAAATTGGTATCAAAACGGGTCACAAATCAACAATCTACAACCTTGTATAAAACTCCTTGAAGACTCTCTATCAATTCTCGACACAACCAAGAAAATGACTTCAACATTCGATGCTTACGACCTTAAGAGCTCTCACTCCATCCATAGGCCTTCTTACTTCCTATTGGAAGAATAAGATGATGTTGTTTATCCAAGCCACCGACCATGTGGTTTGGGATGTAATCATTGACGGTTGTCCCTCCCCTCCTAGGAATTGATCGGAGTGGATAAGTGAAGATAGGAATCTTGTCCAACTCAATGCCAATGCCATGCACATCCTTTTTAATGCTCTTAGTCCGGACGAATATAGTAGAGTATCTTCATGCCCTAATGCCAAGAATATTTGGGACAAGTTGGAGGTGACCCATGAAGGAACAAACCAAGTAAAGAAGTCCAAGATTGATATTCTCACTCTGAACTACGAGAACTTCAAGATGAAGCCCAATAAAGACATAAAGACAATGTCCGATTGGTTCACTTCAATCATCAACGAGTTGAAGAACTTTGGGAAGGTTTGCCCTAATGAAGAAACAGTGTGAAAGATTTTTGCCTCATTGTCTACATCATGGGAAGGCAAAACAACTACCATCAAAGAAGCCAATGTCTTGGAATTGTAATTCCTTGATGAGCTTATCGGTTCTCTTCTCACTCATGAGGTGAGACTCCAAAAGAATAAGGTAGAAGAAGAAAATAATAAGAAAATTAATGAGGAACGAATCGCCTTCAAATCCACCAATGAGAGTAATCAAGACTCAAGAGAAGAGGTGGATGAAGATGAAGAGATGGCCAAGATCTTCAAAAGATTCACTAGATTCATGTCTTTCAAAATAAAAGAAGTGAAGCATGAATCGAGAAAGAGGAAGGGTCACTCGGTGTGCTTTGAGAGTACCAAAGAATGGGAGATGTCAAATACGAGTGTCCCCTCCTAAAGAAGAAGAGATCAAGCAAAAAGAAGGTATTTGTGGCGGCTTGGAGTGATGAAGAATACTCCAATAATGAAGATAAAGTTTCCAACCTATGTCTCATAACCATCGAACAAGATTCAAAGGTAACTTCTAACTCTTGTGATTTAAATTCTTATTCATTTAACAAGTTACAAGATGCCTATGATGAATTTTATTTAGATTTTGATACATGAATTTCAAATATAAGAAATTAATTTCAAATTTTAAAGTTGAAAATGATTTTCTTTTGAAAGAAAAAATAGATTTTGAAAAACGAAATGAAATTTTAAAAAATGATTTTGAGTTTTTAAAATTCAAAATCAACGATTTAGACAAAAAAATCTTGATTTAAAAGTTAAGCTTAAATTCTTAACAAAATAAAAAGAAATAATCTCTCAAAGCAAATCATCGTGTTTAAAAATGGCAAGATGCTCATTACCATTTTAATGGTCACATGGAACATACTTGTCCTTTAAAACTTAGAAAACATTTAAAATTAGACAAGGATGAGTTCACAAGGGAACAAGAGACTTTTGCAATAACATTCAAGGATCCAAAGCAATTTGGATACCAAAAGCTATATATATGTCTCTTGTATGTGTGGGAGAAATGGTGATAAAAGTGAAGAAATTCAAATGCTCTAGCCACACAAAATGAGAATTGAGTGAGCTCTAAACTTAATTCTTTTTATTTTGCTTAATTAGTTGCCTATTTTGTTTTATGCATGCATGAGTTTTGAGCATAAATGGTTATATGTTGTTTTTCATCCCATGTATGTCAAAATGTGTTATGGTAAACATTTTAAAGTTTCAATGATTTTTATCAAAATTTTGTTCATCATAATGTTTTTTGGTCAAATTTGCTTTTAATGTTTTGTTTTTAATTTTTTTTATTTTTGACCTTAAATTTAAATGTTTATGCATATGGTTTTATTGCAAATGATGTCTCTCTAACAATTGATATCAATTTTTCAAATGCATAACATTTTTTTCTTGAAATTAATTTGTTGACGGGGAGCTTTTGATTTTTTAAATGGTTTTTTTGGTTAAAATTTCTACTATCTCCCCATTGTTATTTTTAAACATAAATGCTCGAATTATTTTTGATATAACAAAAAGCGGGAAAAATATTAGTTTGAAAAAAATCAATTTCAAGAATGAAATAGGGGAGATTAAATATTTTCCTTATTAATTCTCTTATTCAACCTTTGTTTTAATAAGGGGGAACTTTTATCAAAATCTATTTTTAGAGATCCTGTAAAATGTAGAAGTAGGAAAAAACTTTATAGAATAATTGAGCTCTCGAGTAAGTTTAGAGACAGAGAGTAAGTTTTGAGTAAAACTTGGAATGTACAGAACATTAGCAATGTGAGGACCAGAGGTGAAAGTATAAGAACCAATGAATGTGACTGGCACAGTTTTACCATTTGGGAGATTAACAAGCCTGGATCCTAAAGCACAAGAAATAGGAAATTTTAGACTCTAATATTCAGATATCATATGGTTTGTTGCCTCTGTGTCCAAAATCCATTTAAGATCATTAGTAGAAGCAGATAAACAATTCACAGCAATACCTGCAATATGGGTAACCAAATCAGTAGACGAGGTCTTGTTGGGAAGACTCAAGATCTGAGCATACTGCTTCTGAGTGAAAACAGGAGTAAGAGAATGATTGATAAGAATAGCAGTACTGGACTCAAGACCTTCTTCGACAGAATTAATATTGTTTGCCACAGTTTGTGTTCCTCGCTTCTTAGTGAACTTGAAATCATCGGGGAAGCCAATTAACCGATAACAGTTTTCTTTCTTGTGCCCTTTGATTTTACAGTAATCGCAAGTACCTTTGAACCGATTCCGATCATAATTCCGAGAAGCACCGGAAAACATCACAGTTGCATCTGGGAAGGATTTAGCCCATAGAGGTGAACACGCTGAGACTCTTCTTGGACGATCATTGAATACGCCTAGTTAACTGAGGGAAGCGACTGCATGAGTAGGATTTGACTTCTAATGGCTGTATATGTTTCATCAAGACCCATAAGGAACTG